TTCTACTTTATCTTTACAATAGTCAATATTCTTAACTAATTTATAGTTTTAATTATAATTTTTTAGTATATATTTCAGAAATTAATCAATTCTAATCTATTATTTGAAAAACTAATCAATTCTAATCAATAATTTAGAAAACTAATCGATTATAATTAATTATTTGAAAAAATTATCAAATATGATCGATCATTTTGAAAATCTAATCGATCAGAATCAAATATCGCTCGAGCGATACTAGAGTCGCTCAAGCGAAATACAACCCGAGAATGCCAATTTTGTGCAGGTGGCGCTTCGCTCGAGCGAGAAGAGTGTCGCTTCGAGTGAGAAGAGTGTCGCTCAGCGAGATACATTTTAGATAGCGGTTACACAGGAACCGCTCTTAAAAGCTCACTTAGATAGCGGTTAACCTGGAACCGCTATTATATCGTTTCAATTATGATCGATCAGAATGCGATTATGACTGATCGAACTATTTTAATCGATTAAATCTCATTTCAATCGATTAAAACAATTTCTGCACAGCGTTTTAATCGATTAAAACTTATTTTTATCATTTAAAATAACTTGAAAAATTTTACGAGAAAGTTTTGCAGTATTTCAATCGATTGAATCGCGAAACAATCGATTAAATCAACTTAGAAGATTTTTTGTAAAGTGTTTTAATTGATATAAACGTTGTCAGTATCAGTTAAAACAAATCTGTTAAAGAATCAAGAACGTTAAATTTTTTTTTATAAAAGTAATTATTATATATTTTTTTATTTTATAAAAATGATTAATAAAAGAAAATTGTATTATTTTTTTCTTTTTTTAGGTGTAAAAGTATAATTAAATAAAAGATAAATATATATACTTTTGCATTTTAATTTTCAAATATTAATTTTTTTATGAAATTAATTTTAATTAAAAAAAATAAAGTGATATATATATATATATATTTTATTATTATTAATTTATTAATATTATCAAATTTTAGCTTAATAATTAAAAAAATTACCAATAATTTAAATTTTAATATATCTATAATTTTATATAATTATTAATATAAATTTAATTCTTCTAATAATATTAACACATTTATTAAATTAAAATTCTTTACTTTAATTAATTATTTTAAATTTTTTTAACGATTTTTTTAAATAAAAACAATAAAACTTAAAATTAATTTCTAACTAAATCTTCACATATTTATGGTTAATACTATATTATATTATTATGTTTAATTAAATTTTAAAATAAGTTCACTTTATTTTTACACTTTTATATAAAAATGACTAATATAAACTTAAAATATATATCCAACTATTAAATTATCCAAGATATTAATATAAATTTAAAATATCAATTCAGTAATTAAAATAATTTTAATTTTTTATAAATACATTGAAATACATTTTTATTAACATACAAGTAATATATATATATATATATATATATATATATATATATAAAAGAGACTAAATTAATAATTAATTTAATTATTGATTTAGTGACCGATTCGATGACCGAATCGATGACTGATTCGATGACCGAATCAGATGACCGATTCGGTGACTAATTTAATAATCAATTTTAATTTTTTTATTCACATGCTAAATTAAAAAATAAAATTAAATAATTATATTACTAAATTATTTAATAAGTTAGTAAACTATTTTTTTAAAATTTTTATAATGTTATTAACAATGTTATCACTTATTTTAAATTATTAAGTAGATTTATATTTAAAATATTTTAAATAAAATATTTATATAAATGAAAAATAGTTATCAATTTAAAAATTATTTTTTTAGTGATCTGAAAATTTAGTCACTAAATCAGTTACTAAATATATAAAAAATTCAGTCACCATTTTCGGTCACTATTAACCATTTTTCTAGTAGTGATCGAATCAGATGATCGATTCGATGATCGAATCAATGATCGATATCTCGTGATCTGAAATTTTAGTCACTAAATCGATCACTAAATATAAAAAGGAAATCGATCAACTGATTCGATTACTTATCGATGACTGAATTTTTCAGATCACTAATTTCGATCACTATTTGGTGTTTTTCTTGTAGTGAGTACAAGGTTAACTAACTTAAAAAATTTAACCTTTTAACTTGTAAAATAAAAACAATATATATTGTCCAACTAGAATAATATTGTAATTCGCCTTGACTAAATAGGACAATAAAACTTACCATATAATGTTAATAATAACAATTATATGAAAAGAATAATAAAAAAATAAAAATAAACGTAATATATTGAAAATGGTTTTTCAAAAATTTCATAACAAAAGTGCACAACCAATTCAATTTTTTAAGTAACAATTTAAATTTGATGAAGTATATATATATGTGTAGGAATTAACAGGACTATTAAATTTACCATATAACCATCGTATAATCATACTGATAATAATAAAGGTAATATATTGTAAATGGTTTTTTTAATTTTTCATAACAATGAGGCAAAATTAACAACAACCAATTCAATTTTTTATTAAGTAACAATTTAGATTGGATGGAATATACATGTGTAGGAATTAACAAGACTATTAAACTGACTATATAATAATCATAATGATATGAAAAGAATAGCTGAAATAAGAATTTGAAGGCAATACAATATAATTGATTTCTCAAAATTTTCTCTATAGGAACAAATGAAAACTAACAACCAATTTAAATTTAATTTAAAAAAAGGTCAGAATTTTAAATAAATGAAGCAGATATAAGAATTACTGGGACGATGAAACTGACCATGAAATTAACAATATAATCATCATATAATGTTAATAATCATAATGATAGAAACCAAGAGCTGCAAAAAGATGAAAAATAAATACTTTGTAATTGGTTTTTTCACAAATTTAAGATTTTTGGTGGTGATGAAATTGATCATATAATGCTAATAATCACAACGTTACGAAAAGAATATATATAAAAAATAAATAAAGGCAATACACTATAATTGATTTTTCAAAAATTTCTCTACAGTGAATAAAAAGTTAACAATCAATACAAATTTAATATTATTTAAATTAAATGAAGAGTGTGTTGAAATTGACACGACTGTGAAATTTAATCATCATATAATGCTAATAATCATAATAATATAAAAAAAAGGCTAAAAAAGAATGTGAAGACAATAATACACTTTAATTGATTTTTCAAAGTATTTTGTGTTGTAGATGAAAGCCAAAATATAAAAATTAACAACCAATTCAAATTTAGTATTAAAAAAATAAAAATTAAAAAGAGATGAAACATGAGTAAGAATTAATCAGAAAATCACATTAATCATATATAATGGTAATAATTATAATTATACGAAAAATGCTTAAATAAATGAAGGCAACATGCTTTAATTGTCTCTAAATTTAATTTTCTGATATGAAATAAGACTCCAGACATATATAGAAAGAAGAAAAAAAATTAAATAGTTAAGTTCTTTTTTTTTTTCAACGACATTATCTATAACTTCCTTTATAAACATGTAATACATAATAAAATAATTGGACTAAAAAACTTATGATTACAAATGAATTTATAATTATTTTTTTCATCATATTACACTAAAAAATATAATTAATTATTGACGGATAATTACGGATGAATATACAATCGTCAAAAAATTACCGATAAAAATTATAGATAGAAATTACTAAGAGATTACCTACGATTATAAATAATAAAAATAAGGAATTGAAATCTTACCAAGGACAATTCTTTTAATAAATAATATTTAAAATTTTTATAAATAATAAAAATATAATAACACAGTTTAACGGATTTATATATATTTTTAAAGTAAAACAATTTAAAAATGATTAATATATTTTAATGTATTTGATTACCACAATTAAATTTGATTACAAAGATATTTAAAATATTTTGAATTCAAATAATTTTAAATAAATAATTCATAAAATATATTTAAGGTATGAGTATATAAAATATTTTTTTAATAAAAATAAATATTTCTTAATGGCTTTTGTTATTAATGACGTGATTAATTGTTTGATTTCTAATAGAGTAAAATATAATTTATTAAAAATATTAGTAAAAATATCATTGACCTTAATTAGAATCTTCATTCTCATAAACAAATTTATATGATCATAATTAAAATCATCAACTCATAAACAAAAATATTTTTCTTTTTTATTTTTAAATAATTCTCTTATGAATACTTCAAGAAGATGATTTCATGCACAATAAAGGTCTTTATCAATGATAATTCATAATTTATCTCATTTGTTTCTCTTTTTTTTCATTTTTTATTATTTTACCTCACTTTTGGTGATATTTTGTAAATTTTTTTAATAATATCTATCAATCTTTTATAAGTAACATATTTCTCTATTTTTATATATTATTTGTTATGTATTTTAAAAAATATAATATGATTATTATTAATTTAATATTTATAATCATGTTAAATATTCTATTATTTAAAATTTACGAATAAAATATATTCACGACTAATATTCTGTTTTATTTCCAATAATAAATGTGGAAAATATAAAGATATAAATTTTAATGTAAGGAAAATTTTGCCTAAGGGAGTTAGAAAAGAAATAGGTATAATTTTCCTTAGGAAAAGTGGTCTGTAATAATCCTTAATTCGGGTTTTATTCCTTTAGCTTGGGTTGTTTGTGCTCTCATATACTGAAGTGAAAGGTGAATCTGTGAAGTAAGCTTCTTCGACGACATGAGACAACTGCATACAATTAAAATACAATATTTTTGAATTAATCAATCCATAATATTTTTAAATATATACAACGACTATTAATATGTATTAAATAAAACAAATTTGCAAGCTCAAGGGAAATTAAGTACGTCATATTCTTTTAACGAAAAACAAGTACAACACATTCATATACAACTAAACTTTGAATCAAATCACCATTCAATGCAAAGTGATAAGGTTCTTGCCTAACTTTTTGTACGCTAAGAAGGAAGAATTGAAGTTGAACAAAAAGGTGTGCAACAAGACAGTCAAGCAACCATTCTCACAAGCCATAGAGGCTTTCCTTTTAACAACACACAGCATCCCATTCCCACTCCAAATACCATTCCACATCCATATCCTATAGCCACTGGCTTCCAACCAAATTCAAACCCTTGTTCTCTTTTGATAGTCAGTGAAGGTAGAGAATGTTGTTCAGGGTCCTTGCTGCATTTTCTTGTCAATGGGAGCCCACATAACCCTGAGTTTCCCTTATAGGAATCATTAGAAAATGTATTGAACTGTTCTCCTTGAGGTATTGCTCCAACAAGATGGTTATTGGAAAGATTCAGGACTTCCAAAAAGTTCAAATTGTTTAATTCGGTAGGAATGTTACCAGTAAGCATATTTGAAGACAGATCTAATGACTCTAAGTTTGTCAAATTTCCCAAGGATTGGGGAATACGACCACTAAATCTGTTATGAGAAAGGTTGAACCCTCTGAGTGAGTGAAGCTCTCCTATCACATTTGGAATCTCTCCTTCAAATCTGTTTTTGGATAAATCAATGCTTACAAAGTCTTTCCGAATCTTCTCCATTGTTATAGTGATTGCTTTTGTTGTTACAGTCACAGAATCAGTGTATATTTTTCTACCTGTCAAAGAAGTTGAAATGTATTGCCAACCGTCATCTTGAACTACATCCTTCATGGCTTCAAAATTTTGTATCAAGGATTTTGGTATTGGGCCACTGAAGTTGTTGGAAGAGATATCAAATACAACTAAACTGGGAAATCCATGCTTGGTTTTTAAACTTGCAATGGGACCGTACAACTTATTGGCTCGCAAAACCAATACTGTCAAATTTGGTAGACTTTGAAGCCAATGGGGAAAGGTATCCTCTAATTGATTGTTGCCAAGATCCAAATCCTCCATATGAGTGCAATTGGACAAAGATTCTGGTAGAGAACCTTCTAATTGGTTGCCATAGAGATCCAGCGTTCTGAGCCCACAATTGTTTGAAAACGTAGGCAAAGTGCCATGAAGTTTGTTCAATTGTAGATCCAAAACTTCAAGGGATGACGAGTTAGCAAGGCATTGTGGAATGATGCCTGTCAACTTGTTGTGAGAGACCTGGAGTATCCTAATTGAACTTGCATTGCAAATTGAGGAAGAGATGTCACCACTGAGCGAGTTAAAACTAAGATAAAGGACTTTGAGTTGGTGGTTCCTTGAGAATTGATTCAACGATTGTGTCAATCGGTTGTGAGAGAGGTCCAATAAATATAATGATCTCATTTCATGTAACCAATTGGGTACTCTTCCATGAATTTTGTTATTGGACAGATCAAGAAAGCTCAAATTTGGGACTTTTCCTGATAATTTTGGAAATTCAGTTAAACCCATGAAAGACAAGTCCAAGCTCTTTAAGTAAGAGAAACTATAGTTGTTGACATTGGATTCGAAATTTAGGGTTAACTCATTCTGCGAAAGGTAAAGATATTGCAAATTTTGAAGCTTTGAGAAAAATGGAAAGTGAACAGACCCACTCAAGTTGTTTGATGATAGATCTAATTCAGTAAGGTTTGCAAGGCTAAAAAATGTGGCTGGAATATTGCCCTGTAGCTTGTTGTAGGACAAATCTAGATTCTCTAAGGAATTCGATATATTTGCACTAATAAGCCCAATGAACTTATTTCCTGATAGACGTAAATCCTTCAAAGATGGCAAAGATAAACACCAAGAAGGAATTGTTCCATTCAGTAAGTTGTCATCCAACAATAAGGTAATTAAGTTTGAAAACCCTGCTATTCTATTGGGCAGAGGGCCCTGCAATTTATTATGAGAACATCTCACGTAAGAAAGTTGAGTTAAACCAAACAATGAAGATGGGATTTGACCACTGAATTCATTTTCTGAAAGATCCAACATAATGAGATGTTGAAGATTCGAAATTGTCGATGGCAGTTCACCTCCTAAATAATTACCACTCAAATGCAATTTTTCAAATCTGTTTGACTGAGGAAAGACATTTGGGATTTGACCACTGAGATGATTACCATTGAGATTGAGAAAAGTTAGACGTGGAAGGGTTAGAAGTGAAGATGGGATTGAACCGTTGAGAGAGTTAAATGAGAGATCCAGATAAGTAAGATGTGTGAGGTTCGAGAGTGAGGGAGGGATTGACCCCTGGAAACGAGAATTTGAAAGATCTAAGATACTAAGAGAACTATTTCGACAATTAACTTGTGGAAGTTGGCTTTGAAGGTACTCATTATCTGAAAGATATAAGTGTTGAAATTTTGGTAAACAAAAAATGTCATTTGTCAGGTTTCCTCTTGGCCAAGTCCCTCGAAGACCAAGAGTAACTAATGACGAAGACAAGTTGAATATGTTGATTGAAACCGAAGACATGTCTGTATAATCCAAAACGAGCTCCCTTAAATCTGTTGCATTTTGGAGTAGCCTCTTCCAAGTGTCTTCTTTCCACTTCAACTGAGGGTTAAAAGAAAGATCCAGTGAGGCTAATTTGGAAAGGTATGAGATTTGAGAAGGAATTTCACCTTGAAAGTAAGAACCAGATAAGTTGAGGTGTGTGAGGCACCTAAAACCATCATTAAGAAATGACAAATGAGATTGATAAAAAGAATTGATAGCAAGGTTGAGTGATTGGAGATGAGAAAGATTGAAAAGTGTACTGTTGGGATGGAATTGGCCATGAAGGCCACTGCAGGCAAGGTCGAGGCCAATGACGTGACCAGAGATGGGATGGCAGGTGACTCCAAGCCAAGAGCAGCAATCCGTCTCATTTCTCCATGTTGCTGTCTTTGGATAATAACAATCATCATAATATAAACTAGGATTAATAGTAAAGGAGTTCTTGAACTGATGCAAGATAAAACCGTCGTGAGGGTGGCATAAGAAATGAGAGGATGAAAAATGAAAGAGTGAAAACAGAACCAACCATCTCATCCATGACTCCATTAATTCTAACTTAATGTCAAGTATTTACTTTGACTCACTGTAAGGTTGTTTGTGTTGAACACGAAAATGGGGGCGGATGAATATTTATAGCCAATCGAAAACACGAAATGCAATATGTGGCTAATTTAGCACGTTAACATTCATTGTCCAACATTTTGGTTACGCCTTCATTGTTGACCCCCACTATTTTCCTTGCAACTCATCTTCCGCGAACATGATTTATTTCATTTTTCTAGAAGTTAAATTAACTTATCCATAAATTAAAATTAATTTATGCATATGTTAATTTTTAAAAAGTTTTATTATATAATTGTTTTAAATTTTTATTTTTAATATGTGAATAAATTTTATCTTATTTAAAAAATTATTTTTATATATTTTTATTAAAGAAATTATAGTTAAGTTAATATATATAAATATAAAGTAAGTTGCAACGTAATTGTAGGATGATTATTTTTTTATTCTCTTGATCATTCTTCACACAGGATTTTTTAAAAAAACAATAACAAAATAAAATATTATTATTGAGATTTAATTTCTTTTTATTGTCCTTATAAAATATTAGATTATATATTATTTTATTAAGATTTTATATAATTTATTTTCTGATAATTTTACTAGATACACAATCGGGCATTTTATAAATAGAATATACATATTTTTTTAAATATATATTAGAGTGGTGATGATTCTTTAAATCTTGAATCATTTGAAACATTCAAATAAAATAAAGAAAATTTGACATATTTAGAATGAAATTAGTTCCTTAATCAAATTTAATAAGTTTTCAATATTTTTTTAAAAGCACGTTAAGATGATAAAAAGGAAATACAAACGTCATAATAAAAAAAAAAGCAACTCTAAATAATCCTTTATTAATACTTTTAATGATATATGGATTACTGATACTAAATCTACAAATTATATGACATTTGATTTTAGAAAGATCACCAAAATTAAATCAACTATACAAAGTTTCTACTCCAAATGAAAATAAAGCTCAAATTATTGGGGAAGGATGTTAAATCTTATTAGTACTTTAAATCTTGATTATGTATTGATTGTTTCTTTTTAAATTATAATCTTTTGTTTTTTATTAAATAACAACTTATTTATCTTATGTGATAATTTTTTATTCCGACTCTCGTATTCTTAAAAATATCAAAACAAAATAATCAATTGGTTATAATAATAGAAGAAAAAACTTATATTACTTATATCTTTCAAAAAAAATTTGGTAAGTCATAATAAACATTAACGATTGATAATTCTAAGAAAGAAAATAAAAATTATGAGATCTGGTTGTCGCATTGACGCCTTGATCATGCCTTATTTGGATATTTAAAAAAATTATTTTCTACTTTGTTTAAAAAGTATGATATTATAGTTTTCACTATGATATTTATGACTTTACAAAGAGTCATAGAATCTCATTTTTATCAATTTTAAATAAAAGTCCTCAAATTTTTATAGTGATATATTCTAATGTGTGGGATCCATCTACAACCAAAACTTTGTAGATTTCGTTAGTTTATCACTTTTATTGATAATTATACAAAAATGACTTAGTTATACTTAATGAAATATATTTAAATTTTTTTATAAAATGATAAAAACTCTATATAATGCTCAAATTTAAATTTTGCACAATGATAACGATAGAGAATATAAAAATTTTGAACTACAACAATATTTAGAAGCTAATTGAATCATTAATCAAATTACTTCTCCAAATAACCTTAATAAAATGGGATTGTTGAAAGAAAAAATCTATATTTATTAAAAGTTGTTTGTGCTCGTTAATTGACGCACACATGTCATTATGTTATTGGAAATAAACTTTTACTTCAATAGTATATTTAATAAATTGGACTCTTTCAAGTTCTACAGAGTTTAAGACACATTTTGAAGCTTTATAAAATTTAACTACCATTCCAATAATTCTTAATTTACCCCATTGTATATTTCGATGTTTTGTATTTGTTCATTTCCATAAGCATAATGCAACAAGTTGGCTCCACGAGCCATTTAATATGTTTTTGTTGGATATATTGTACATCAAAAAAATTATAGGTGTGTTATTATTCTCCTCATCATAGGTATATAACAACAAATGCGATCTTCCATGAAGATACAATGTATTTTGCTTCTGAGTCTGATTTTTAAGGAAGAAACCAACCAAAAATTCAAATTTTAGAGTATATGGATTTAAGTAATATAACTTCATATCATCATTCTTTAAGAGATAAAGAAGAAAGTGACATTTAAATAAGAATCTCTCACAACAGATAACATTAAAACATCACAAAAATATCTTAATAAAAATAACATTGAAACACCACATAAACCCCTTAATGGGGATAACATTGAAGAGCTTTGTGAATCTCTACATGGAGATGATATTAAAATACCACATGAAACTTACCAATTATTTGTTAGTCAGAAAACAATTGTCAAATCGTCTTACTAGAGATATTCCTAAACTTATTTATGAACTTGAACTCTCTAGTAAAGTTAAGTATCCTATGAGTAATTATGTATCTAATCATAGATTAAAAAAACCAAATAAAATATTATGGTTAAGTTATTTACTATAACATTTCCTAACATTGTGCAGGAAGTTTTAGCTAACCCAAGATGGAAGATTACTATAAATTAGGAGATTAGTTCCCTTCAAAAGAATAAAACTTGAATCATTATTGATTGTCTACCAAAAAAGAAACCAGTAGGATGCCCATGAGTTTACTATATCAAACATAAAGCAGATGGTACAATAGAATTGGTGGCAAAATGATATACCCAAATATATGAGATTGATTACACAGATATATTTGTTTTTGTAGAAAAAATTAATATTTTTGTAGAAAAAATTAATATTGTTTGAGCATTATAATATTTAGTAACAAATCTGGATTGACAATTGAAGCAGTTTGATGTAAAAGAAACACATTTTTTTTACATGGGAGTTAAATGAAGAAGTATACATTGATTGATCTCCCACCAAGTTGCATGGTACCTAAAAAATATAATAGAAATGTATACAAATTGAAAAAAATCTATATATGAATTGAAACAATCCCCACAAACATGATTTGGAAGGTTTACAAAATCTATGTCAATATTTGAATATCATTAAAGTGATTCTGATCACACTTTATTCCTTAAGAAACAAGAAAGTAAGATAACCACGCTTGTTGTATATGTGGATGATACGATTGTTACAGGAAATGATCAAGAGAAAAGTAAAGCATTACAAGAGTAGTGAACAAATACACCAATGGAGAAATGTTTAAAATTATCTATTACATTAGATCAAGTCCCGGTTGATAAACTAAGACATTATAGACTTGTAAGAAGATTGATGTATTTAACACACCATATCTCGCATATACATTAAGTATTGTTAGTCAATTCATGCATAATTCTAGACATCAACATATAAATACAACTATGCATATTTTAAAATATATAAAGTCGGCACAAGGAAAACCATGATTGTTTACCAAAAATATAAATTATCAATAGATTGATGTATATATTGAGGTTGACTAGACTGCATCATTGGAAAATAAACTATCAATATCAGACTATTTTACATTAGTTGGTGGTAATCTTGCTACATGAAGAATAAAAAAGGTCTCTCAGTCAAGTACAAAAGTTGAGTTTAAAGGTTTAACACTTGAAATTTGTGAATTTTTATGACTAAGATTTCTCTTGCAAGATATTGAATATTCCTCCACACAACCTATTAAATTATATTATGACAATAAAATTGTCTGTGATATTGTTCATAATTTAGTACAACATGATCGAACAAAACATATTGAAGTGGATATATTCTTTATCAAAGAAAATTTAGAAGAAAAAAAATTATAGAATTACCCACAATTCACTAAGAAGATCAATTAGTTAATATCCTAACAAATGTCATATTAAATATAGTATTCTTAAAATATCTTGTCATGTTACATATGAAATTTATATGCACCAATTTAAAGAAGAGTGCTGAGATTTACTTTACTTTTATTCTTTTTATAAAATATTATTATACATATTGTATATTATTTAATTAGGATTTAATACCATTGTAAAATATTTTAGTTTCCTAGTGAAGTAGCTAATTAGTACATATATCTTATATTTTATAAATACGATATACATATTTCATTTCATAATAAAAAATAATATATTTTTGTTTATAATTTTTAAGTATTATTTTGATAGCTTTAAATTTAATCCTTACTCAAATAAATATCTCTAATTTTTTTATTTTTTTTAATACCTAATACATAATAATTATACAAATTTGATAGTCATAATACATCTAATTCATCAAAAGATTTGACTTATACGTACGACTTGGACTATCATCTTTCTAACCCATCCTAAATGTTGTCATTGAACCACTTAAATTGACTTGGAAGTCAATCGTTACAACAAAGATGGGATATAAGTGCATGATGGTTTGATTTTTCAACTATGAAATTAAGAGTTTCTATCCCTTCAATTATTATGAAAAACTAATTATCATTTTTCTCTACTCCAATAATTTTTCCTAACACTCTTATTTTTTTCAGAAGTTCAGCAGTCCTAGAATTTGTTTTGGCCATTAATTGCATTTTTTTATACTTTTATTATTGTCAAAATTTAAATCGCCCCCTTTATTTTTGCAATTTAACCCTTATTAAGGTATATGGTGGACACTAAAATCTCTGTTCATATGTCTAATTTACAGGTTTTCGAGGACAACCATATACAATTAGAAATAATAATAATAATAATAATAATAATAATAAATATTATTATTATATTTACCAGTGTTTTTTTGTTTTTAAAAGTGTCAAACGATGAACATTTGTTTTTTAAATATGATCGATTTGTTAATTAGTTTGAAACCAGAGGCATGTTTTAAAGGTATAAATGATAATAAGAGGGATGAACAGATGTTTTTATTGTCTGATCATACCTTTACCTTCTATAAAGAATACCAGTGAGAAAAAAAAAAAATCTTTTGACTTCAAAATTTGTATAAATTGGAGCGTGGTTTAGTCTGTATGTGCACTTTTGATGATCACTCTAGACTCATTAATTTTGACTGTATATCATCAGGTTCGTAGTGGGGAAGAGAAACTATTTATATTTTATTTTATTTTTGTATTTTCTTAGTGGTCCGTATAATGTGACTTGACCAAGCTCACCTTGAATTGGATTTGATCTTTTTTATTTTTATTTATTTTAAAAATAATTATAATAATTTATTAATTACATTGATGATATCCTTTCTCTTGTCATCCTTTTAGCGTACTACTATACCATCATATTTGTTGTATTTGTCGCACCACCGTATTATATTTGTATTATAGTGTTTGTCATGTATCAATTTCGTGTTTCAGTCACGTCATTGGTAATACCACCATGTCACCATGATTCAGTTGCACTGTAATATTTGTCGCGTTTCAATTCTGTCATAGAATTTGTTGCCTAACCGTATCATTACGTTTGAATCTTACAATTTTGTCATCTTTATTAGAAAAAAAATGAATAACAAAAAAACAAACGTAGGATAGTTAGTCAACCCACCAAACAGTATTGAGTTAAATCAGATTGTGAAATTTTTTATTCGCTATAAAATAAAATAAGTCAGCTCAATTATTTTCAGTTTAACCCAAATAAAGAAAAATACACAAATCAAATAAAAAAATAAAATTTTATATATGACAGGAATTATGGAAAAAAAATAATTCTCATTGGCTTTGACTTGGTACAATTAGTGAGCTAACTCGTGTGATTAGAGTTGGCTCATTTTCACACCCGATTGTGTATACTTGGAGTTGCCTCGCTTTAACACCATGTTACAGGTGAGTGAAGAAATTTCCTAGGAAAAGAGTTTTATCATATTTCTAGCCAATCCTAAACGTTGCCGTTGAACCGCTTACATTGACTTGGAAGTCAATCATTACAACAGAGATGGGGACATAAGTACATGGATGGTTTGATTTTTCAACTATGAAATTTAGAGTTTCTATCTCTTCAATTATTATGAAAAACTAATTATCAGTTTTCTACTTCAATCGTTCTTCCAAAAACTCTCTTTTTTTTCAGAATAGATTTGTTTTGGCCATTAATTGCAATTTTTGTACTTTTATTATTGTCAAAATTTAAATCGCCCCCTTTATTTTTTTCAATTTAACCCTTATGATTCTAATTCTGTACTTTTGATTCATCTAATTTCATTTCAAATATTTAAAATATTTACTGTGTGTGTGTGTGTGTGACTGGACATATATGTTATTTCTGTAGAAAGATAAAAACTCCCACCCAAAATACTATAATTTACCCATTTCACTTCTTTGTTCAGCATGGTGATTAGTAAGACTGTTATGGTACAAAGCTCAATTTTGTTTTATTGTTAATTGTCTAGTTAATTATTTTAGTAAGCATACTAGTTAATAAAACCTTTCACAATTCTTAGACTCTGTTTTTATCTTAACTAAAAACAAATTAAAGGGAAAATCAGTGGGAGACAAGACCTATAAAGTAAAGAGAAAATAAGTAATTCTTAGAGATTTGAAGCACCCGTTTGAAAAAATTTCTCTTTATTTTCTTTTTCTATGTATATAATCTTGGTTTGTTATCCTTCTTAGGTAACTAAATATTCCTTTATTGGGATGAAATGTAATCAAACTACAACTCTTATGTATTCTTTTTTATATAAATTATGATCTTCATTAATCTATATTACTGATACATTTGTGGTCTTCAAGCTTTTAATGCTTGAAAAATCATAACTTGAGCTTATATTATAGAGATTGATGAGAAAATCATCTTTGATCGTGATAAAAAAAAATGAATCATTTTAATGGATAGATTGCTAAAAATACATTTTGATTCATGGCTAGTTTTCATTGTAATTATTAAAACTGATTTCTTTGAATGATTATTTAGGAGTCAATATATGAAAAGGAACTTTGGAACTCATCATTAAGGGAATGATGATCTGTGATTTTAAGCTATTATAATAATATAGGTAAGTGAGTGACTCTTTCTTTAAAAAAAAAAAGATAATGCTATTTTATTAAAAAAGTACATAAAACACGCTCATTTACAACTAAACTTCGAATGAAAACTCCCATTCAATGCATAGTGATAAGGCTCTTGCCCTTAACTTTTTGTTTGCCAAGAAGATGGCTATGAATTTGAACAAGAAGACACTCCCAAATCAAGCAACCATTCTCACAAGCCATTGAGGCTTTCCTATTAACAACACGCAACATCCCAACCCCACTGCAAATATCAGTCCACATCCATATCCTATAGCCACTGGCTTCCAACCAAATTCAAACCCTTGTTCTCTCTTGATAGCCAGTGAAGGTAGAGAATGCTGTTCAGGGTCGTTGTTGCATTTTGTTGTCAATGGGAGCCCACATAACCCCGAGTTTCCCTTATACGAATCATTGGAAAATGTATTGAACTGTTTTCCTTGAGGTATTGCTCCGACAAGATGGTTATTGGAAAGATTCAGGACTTCTAAAAAGTTCAAATTGTTTAACTCTTTAGGAATCTCACCAGTAAGCATATTTGAGGAAAGATCTAAAGATTCTAACTTCGCCAAATTTCCCAAGGATTGGGGAATGCGACCACTAAGTCTGTTATAGGAAAGGTTGAACCCTCTCAGTGCATGAAGTTCTCCAATGACATTTGGAATCTCTCCTTCAAATCTGTTTTTTGAAAAATCGATGCTTACGAAGTCTTTTGGAATTTTCTCCATTGTAATAGTGATTGATTTTGTTGTTACAGTCACAGAATCATTTTTCATTTTTGGAGAGGGTGAATAAGTTCCAATGTATTGCCAATTGTCATCTTGAACAACATTCATCATGGCTTTAAAACTTTGTATGTAGACCTTTGGTATTGAGCCGCTGAAGTTGTTGGAAGAGATATCCAATATGACTAAACTGACAAATCCATGCTTGGTCATTAAATTTACAATGGGACCATGCAACTTATTGGCTCGCAAAACCAATACTTTTAAATATTGTAGACTTTGAAGCCAATGGGGAAAGGTATCCTCTAATTGATTGTTGCCAAGATCTAAATCCTCCATATGAGTGCAATTGGACAAAGATTCCGGTAAAGAACCTTTTAATTTGTTTTCATTGAGATTCAAAGTAGCAAGCCAACAATTGTTTGAAAAGCTACTTGGCAAAGTGCCATGAAGTTTGTTTGATTGTAGATCCAAAACTTGAAGGGATGATGAGTTAGCAAGACACTGTGGAATGATGCCTGTCAACTTGTTGTGAGATAAGTTGAGATACTCGAGTGAACTTGCATTGCAAACTGAGGAAGAGATGCCACCGCTGATTGTGTTAAAACTAAAATCAAGAAAAATGACATTTTGGTTCCACTGGAATTGGTCCAACGATTGTGCCAATCGGTTGTGAGAGAGGTCTAAAAAATATAATGAACTCATTTCATGTAACCAATTGGGAACTCTTCCATTGAGTTTGTTGTTGGATAGATACAGAAATTGTAGAAATGGTACAAATCCTGATAATTCCGGAAATTCAATTAAACCTATAGAAGATAAGTCCAAATCCATTAAGCGGGAAAAGGTATAATTGGCATTGGATTCGAAATTTAGGGATAATTGATCATTCTCTGAAAGGTAAAGAACTTGCAATTTTTGAAGCTTGGAGAAAAGTGGAAAGTGGACTGATCCATTTAAGTTGTTTGATGATAGATCTATGTAAGCAAGGTTTACAAGGCTGAAAATTGTTTCTGGAATATTGCCATGTATCTTGTTGTAGGACAAATCTAAAGCCTTCAAAGAATGTGATAAGTTTGCACTGATAAGCCCTGTGAGTTTATTTTCTGACAGATCTAAATCCAGCAAAGATGGCAAAGATAAACACCATGAAGGAATTGTCCCATTCAGGACGTTGTCATCTAACCATAAGGTAATTAGGTTTGAAAACCCTGCTATTTTGTCGGGCAGAGGGCCCTGTAATTTATTATGAGAACATTGCAGGTCAGAGAGTTGAGTTAAGCCAAACAATGAAGAGGGAAATTTTCCTGCAAAATGGTTATCCGAAAGATGGAGAGTATTCAATTTGGTTAGCCCGACAAAGACGTCTGGAATCTGACCACTGAATTTATTTTCTGAAACATCCAAGAGAATTAGATGCTGAAGATTTGAAAGTGTTGATGGAAGTTCACCTTCTAAATTGTTACCATTGAAATGCAATTCTTTAAATCTGTTTGACTGAGGAAACACATTTGGGATTCGACCACTGAGATGATTACCTTCGAGATTGAGAAAAGATAGACGTGGAAGGGTTAGGAGTGAAAATGGGATTGGACCGTTGAGAGAGTTAGATGAGAGGTCTAGGTAAGTAAGATGTGTGAAGTTAGAGAAGGAAGAAGGGATTAGCCCATGGAAGTGAGAAGATGAAAAATCCAAGATATTAAGAGAAGTAGTGCTGCAACTAAGTTTTGGAAGCTGGCTTCGAAGGTATTCATTAAATGAAAGATAGAATTGTTGAAGATTTGGTAAACAAAAGATATCATGTGTCAAGTGTCCTCTTAGCCCACTCCCTTGAAGACTAAGAGCAACTAAAGAGGAAGACAAATTTAGAACCCTGATCGGAATTGAAGACATATCAATTCCATCCAAAACAAGCTCCCTTAAATCTGTTGCATTTTGCAGTAGTCTCTTCCAAGTGTCTTCTGTCCACTCTAATTGGTAGTTAAAAGAAAGATCCAGTGAGGCTAATTTGGAAAGATGAGAGATTTGGGTGGGAATTTCACCTTCGAAGTGAGAACTAGACAAGTTGAGGTGTGTGAGTGTGACAAACCCACCACAGAGAAATGACAAATGAGATTTATAGAAAGAATTGAAAGCAAGATTGAGTGATTGGAGATGAGGAAGATGGAAAAGCGTACTGTTGGGATGAAATTGGCCCTGAAGGCCACTGCAGGCAAGGTCGAGACCAATGATGTGACCAGTGATGGGGTGGCAGGTGACTCCAAGCCAAGAGCAGCAATCCGTCTCATTTCTCCATGTTGCTATCTTTGGATAATAACAGTCATCATTAAGAGGATTAGTAGTGAAGGAGTCCTTGAACTGGTGCAAGATAAAGGTGTCATGAGGGTGGCATAAGGAATGAGAGGATGAAAAATGGAAGAGCAACAACTGCCACAACAGAAGCAACCATCTCATGCATGACTCCATTCTAACTCAATCTACAGTGTTGGATATAAGGGAAAATATGGATGAAAGGGTAAGGAATTAAGGATGCATATTTATAGCCAACTTACAAACACTAATACTACATGCAATTTGAGGCAAAAGTAAGATGAGTGTGGTTCCACCTTCAAGACTTCAACCATCCACTACATGAAGACTGTAACCAGTGTTGCCATAGTAATTGACTTGGAATTCATTCTCTGTAACCCACTGTATATATTATATAATGGATGGAGCTCTACCTAACAGCATACGTTGTTATAACGGTGAGGAATTTGTTTAATCTCTATAACAAAATCTTATATGACAGACGGATAATAAGTAATTATCGATGAATTTAGAATAGTGGTAGAATTTAGTCTTATCGACAGATATATTCATTGAACAATTAATTACTAACAGATATATCCGTCGATAAATTCGTTGATAAATAAAAATTAATTACTAACAAATATATCCGTCGGTAAATCCGTTAGTGAACAATTAATTACCGATGGATATATCCGTTGATAAATTGTGATAAATGAACAAATTACCTACATATATTACCAACGGATCTAAAGTATATTTTAAAAAATCAACGTTAAATAAAAAATTAAATATTTAAAACTATATAATAATTACATAATTTTAAATATATTATAATAAATTAATTATTCACCTAATTAAAAAATTAAATACTTTTTTATTTAATAATTTATTTTAATCATAATTAGATTAATTTATAATAATTTGTTATATTAAAAAATTTTTAAAAATAATTTTAAAAATAAATATTTAAGTATTTTTAATATTGAAAAAATAATTTTAATATAATAATTTTAATTAAATAATAGAAGAAAAAAAGATAAATATATCAAAATATATAAATATATAACTATATAAATATTTGAAAATCCACTCGACACACATTTTTATCTATGAGTGCGCTCTCACATTTAACATATAAATATATAACTTTATAAATATATCAAAAAATATAAATATATTTATATTTATATATTTACATGAGTATATATTTATTTATATAAATATAATTGTAAGTTACCGACTAATTTTCTCCGTTGGAAAATCCAATTTTCTTGAATGAATAATCTTTATTTCTATCTCTAAATTGAATTTTCTTATTTCTTAATAAAATGAAATCCAAATTTAAAAGGTTTGTTACAAATATCAAATTGAATGAATATATTTGTTTCTCTAAAAATTGATTTTTAACTCTGATAAATTTATTTTTACTAAAAATAAAAAAATCTTCTGAACATACTCTAAACACGATATAACTTTGAGATTGATTACCAATTTTCAGAATTATTACGCTTTTACGGTCTGTTAAATTATGTAGTGACTATGATTGGAAGATAAGAGGGAAGAGAAACAAAATGAAGAGGAATTTGTAAATTTGAAAATGATCGTAATTATTTGTATTTACTTTCCGTTCGAGCATTGCTTACATATCCATGCAGTAACCATAAAGAGACGATGATTCTGTTCATACACAAGATTTTTCTTTGCTGTCTCTTCTTCTTTGGCTTGGTTTTTTAGTTGCTGGAGCAAACGTATTATTGTGCCTCAACTATAATAGGATACTTGTTTTTTGGCATTCTTACAAGCGTTGGTTGGACAAAATTTTCTTTCTCCAGTGGTCTCCATCTGTAACAAAAATTTTGCAACATGTAATGTAGTATGAGCAAATGAATATGGAGGAGACCGAGAGTGAAATAAACGGAAGAAAATGTAATAAATGTTTTAAGTAAGCACTGTGTGATTATCCATTTTCTCCGTGCAATGTGATTCTGTTGATTATCAAAATATGATACAAGCTTACATGTATCTGTTGACAAGGTGATGGATGAAGACACAAATTTCAAGCTTGGCAAGGTTCATTCCAGGACACATACGTGGTCCACTACCAAATCCAAGAAAACAGAAAGGCCTCAACGGTTCCTGCAATTGAATGGAAAATATCAAATTTGGGGTCCTTAGAAATATAGATGATTATTAGTATCTCTTCTTGTCATGAAGGAACTTACATCAAATCTAGAGGGATCAAACTTTTCAGGATCTGGGAAAACTTCTGGGTCATGGTGTATGGAAACAACATCTAGGTTGATGGACCAACCTTTCTTAATTTTATAACCTGCAAATTTTAACATCAACTTTGATTCTCATTCAAAGAACAAAAGCTTCAAAAACACACAGAAATATCTGGCCATTTTGTATTGCAATACCATCAATTTCAAAATCCTGGGATGCCTTTCTTGAAAACCAAGGTAGTATCGTGGCTCTTCGGAGAGTTTCACTGATGACCTGAAATATATAAATGACCAAATAATCTTGGTGAGCTGAGAAATTTGATGACCAATAAGTTACTTACAAACTATAATTATTTGTACTCACTTTGACTGTGTAAGGCAAATTATTTACTTCAGCCCAGGTAAGATCTGTTCCACCTTTTCTGCTGGCGACAATTTGTCTGTGTTCCTCCTGCAAAACATCACAATTCAGGAAGCTACATTTTAAAATATTCGAACTCTGAAATGAGAAGACTATAGGGTCTTTAATGCTTACTCTCAATTGTTCCAAAACAATTGGATTTTCATCAAGAAATTTGATGAGCCATGTAAGAGCAGCAGTTGTGGTATCATGGCCTGCAACCAGCAGAGTTAATATATTATCCTTCAATTGTTTATCTGTGAGTTTATTTTCATCTTCTTTCCCATCTTCTTTGCTGTGTTTCATTACTAAGGATCCTAAGAAATCCTGTTGAAAGTCTTGGCCACTTCTCCTCCGCAAAATTGTTGAATCCAACATCTCATACATCCTATCCCGAGCCTGCACACAGTCACAGTATGCATCAGAGGAAAGGAGAGTTCAGTTATCTTAATTGATTAAAGCACCTGATTAGTTCTACGTGGCAAGTTATGTACTACTTTGTTACCTTGATGCCACGATGAAAAGCTGTCCCTGGAAGTTTAAAAGGCAATGAGGCAAATGAGGAAGAAATAATCTTAAAATTTGACCTAAACTTTTCTTGTTCCTCCCCAGAAGGCTCTAAACTCATGATCATATGTCCAATCACTTTTAAAGTAAACTGTAATATTCAAAATTTCAAATACTTAGTATGAATTGTAACCAAATATGAAATTTTATTTGTTTGATAACTTAAGGCCACTCAACTGTAGAAGCCTCCTCAAGAACCAGGACTTTCCTTCCTTCCCATTGATCCAATGTCTGCATTGCCTGAGTATTGATAAAGTGGAAATATTTTTTCAGGCCATCAATTGATAAAGGTTCACCAATCAGTCTTCTTAGCCTTTTGTGTGCCTCCCCGGTGGTCTGCAGCAAGCTGGTGGGGCCTAGAACTTGCTGGCCAGTGTAAAACAAATTCAAACTCACAATCCCATCCTTGCCAGTTAACAATATCTTACTTGCTTCCCTCCCAGTCATGAAGACAGTGAACCTCCCCAAGACAAAGCTCTTGAAAACCTTTCCATATCTGTGAGAAAACTAAAGTGACCAATGAAAAAGAAAATCCTTGGAATTCTTTTGCACCTAGCATATAATTATGAATTTGGTTGAAATACACTAGTAAAAGTATTTTAACAAGCAATCATGAATTGACATATGGTTGAAAACTCTTGACTTCTGTAAACAAGTACTTTAGAAGTTAAGGTGATTTGTAATTGGTTGCAATATAAGTCTTTTACACTAATACTGATGGAAAATTAAACTCAGTTCTATGTTCTGGTGTTACTAATTTGTTACCTCTTTTGCCTCTTGTTCATGAAGCTAAAGATTCCAGATGGACTTGAAAAGTCTGAGAGGAATGAGAAACTCTCTCCCACGATAGGCCAACCAAGGCTTCCAGGGATGCCTTCCATTGCTTTAGGAGAACGAGTTTGATACAACAAGAAGAGTACTGATAACACTAACACTGAAAGGATTAATAATAGCAGCAAATAGATCAGCTCCATTTCCACTTACAGCACCAAACAGCAGTAGTAGTTAAAGAAATGCTCCTACATATATATCTATACTCAAGCTACAATTATTGGTTGTATCTCTCTCTATCTTGAACCCCCTTGTGATGTGTGATGGATTTTGACTTGACACAAACACCAAGAAGTTTATATTTATATATGCAAACAGTTAAACTGCAGGCCAATAGTTTTTCAAAAGGTAAATCCAAAAGTTTTCTTTGATATCTTAAAATTTTTTGAAGCGGTAAATCCAACAGTTTTCTTTGGTAGAATCTCAGGGATTCTTTGTTCTTGTTGATATGTTATTATGTTGATTGCAAGGTTGACACAAACACTCCATTTAGACATTTTTCTGTATTGAATACAAACAATATCAATTTGCCGTCCTTGGACTACTCCTTGTTTGGCTTGAAGTGCATGGGTATCTTCTTATGTATTATATAATAAGAAACCATTTACACTTGTCTACTCAAAATTTCAGGATTCGTTGGTCAAACTATTTCGGCACTTTCTTTTGTATATTATCAAGCAAGGCTAAGATCACCATCCTTCATGAATTTCTAATACAAATCTCTCTTGTTGAGTGGATTTAATATCAACTCAGTAAAAGAACCTACCTAGCTTGCTTTCTTTTTAGTGGGAATCTCTTACAGATTGACTCAATATTAAGAGTATTTTGGACAGTGTGTCCAAAAATGTTTTTCTAATATTTGTTCTTTCATTTATCATTGCCTCAATAGCTATAAACCACTTAGGTATCAAATAACTCTGGTTGAGTAAGATGAGAAAAAGAAACTCTCATAACACCACCTTGCTCCAGCTTTAATTTACAAGACTAGAACTCACTGAAGAAGTACCTTCCTCGTTCGCTAATAACCATTAATTAAGTTGATTTCAAAAAATACAAGCAAATGTTAGAAAATACAAGGAAGACTAAGTACATAAAAAAAAAATTCATAATCTAATATTTTAAAGTTTTTGGTTAAGATTAAAATAAATCTTTATATAAATTAGATTTTTATTGGGTCTATCTTTCTAATAAATTTCCTTCAAAAATACAATAAAATACACTTTATGTCTTGTTAGTGTTATTTTTTCCAATAAATCTACCTTACATACCAAAAAAACAAATACTCTGTTTTTAAAACAGTAATCAAAAACTGAAATTCTACTTATTTTCAATTAGATATTTAAAATAAACTGAATCAAATATATTCAAACTATTTATACAAAATCGGTTAACTTTTTGTCTTTAAAATCAATTCAATTTGAAATCATCCTTTTGCCAAAAAAAAGTTCCATCCTTAATACAGGACAAAACAAAATTAAGAAACCACTATCCATCTATTGATTATCAGGAGACAGAAACTTTTGAATCTCCCTCGTGTCCTATAATTTTGTTGTTTTTTCTTTGTTTGTTTCTTTTTTTTTTTACCAATTAAGTTGATTTATGTTTAGCTTAAAAATTTGTACAAAATGAAGATGAATTTTTGGATTCTATAATTGGTGACCTTTCCCCGAAAAGGTTATGAATTCCATGCTTGCATATGAAATTTCAAGTCATGACTATAGATTTTCACTTAAGCTTGTACCGTACTTCAATATTGTATTATAGCAACTTTTCTTCCTAAACTTTTGGTGCATCAAGATCACTTTTTCTTTTCTATGTTTTTAATAATATATTGTTGTCAAAAGACAAGACCATTACTGTAGAATTTTCATTCTAAAATTCTATATGTTCGTGTGCTCGTTGAAAAGGTTGAGATCTACATTCAATTTTTCTATTCTAGAGTGTTTGACTAAATTTCACTAAATTCTTTTTTTAATTTAGTAAATTACATTATACATTTTCAAGTTGATTTTTTTTTAAGTTAGTTTACCTCATGCATCTTTGAATTCAACTTTTTTTTTTTTCCACAAGTTGAATTATTAATAACGTGTAATCACCAATCTTATTTATACTAATAAACAAATATAAATAACAAAGTCTTAATGAAAAAAAAGTAACAAACAAATTTTACGACTTCAACTTAATCAACTTCGAACAAATGGACTATTTCATTATTGGTTATAACCTGATTCTTCATTGCATAAAAATCTAATATGGAATTTACAGCTACAAATGTATATTTACACGCACTTAATTAATGGATAAATTACTTCACTGCGGAAAAATGTATATAAACTTAGACTAAAAAAACTTTACGTTACTATTTAATTAAATTATTTTTGAGATTTTAATTTTAATATCAGTTTAGACCTCTTATAATTCTGATTTTATATAAAAATCAATTTAAATATAAATACGGTAATATGATAATTAATTAACTTTCTAAATCGATTATTAATAATATAATGTAAAAAGTCTTTCATGTTATATTGTTGTTGTCGTTATATTATCTTAAATCTCGTCTTCTAAAAAAATCATTATTTTTAAAGTTTATCCTTTTCAAAACTTTTTTTTTCAAATTTATTATGTTCAAAGTTTTTTATTTTCAAAGTTCTTTCTCTCTAAATCTCCTCCTCTATAAAGATTGTTCAATCACCGAAACAAAATTCTTACATAATATCGAGTTGTTAGTAGTCACTATAACATGAAAAAGAATGAAGATGAAACTTTTTTTCTACTATTTAGAACATTGTTATTATTCTTTCATATAATTATCATCTTGTGTCTCTTTTTTATTTTCCTCGTTCTAGGTAAATTTATTATTTCTATTTCTTTTCTTGATTGTATGTTAAACTTTATTAAGAATTGATTGTATGTTAAATTTTATTAAGAATTGATAAAAAAATTGTTGTTGATGTTATATATTATTATTATTATTATTATTATTATTATTATTATTATTGATATTGTTATGTTGTATTATGTGGGAAAAGATAAAAACAAATAATACTTTATCGATAATTATATGTAAAAATATTAACATTTAAAAGTACAATACATATTAATTTAAAAAATAAAAAGTTGACATATAACATAGGTTTTTTTTTTTTTACCATTGATGTTATATGTATATCTTTTACATTAGTTGTGAATTAAAAATTCTCACACTTTCTATATCTCTACATGAAATGCCCAAAATAATTTATGTAAATTTATTTTTTCTTTTTGTCTATTTTACTATTTTATTACAGTTGTTTGATACATTAAAATGTATTAACTGGTTGTCCCAAGAAGTTCTTAGATTTACTACTATATATATACCTCCTTTCAAAATCATACACACCAAAAAAACTCATCTTCTTTACCTTGTTTTTCTATGAACAAAGAGGTTTATAGAGAACTTGTTTGGAAATGGAGACTTGTGTGGAAATTCATGATTAAGTCTTTAAAGACGGTACTCATTCAAAATAAAAATAGTGCATTTGTTTTCACAACAACATTAATTAAATTTGAACTTTGGATATGCAGTCATGCCTTAGCAACCAATGATGCAAAATTGTTATAATAAAGTCCTTCATACTTACTCAACCTTATATTATGTCTTCCATTTTTATCGTCACATTTAAAAAATTATACATGTTTCTATTTAATTATTATTATTATTATTAAAGTTTCTCAAACTAGTTTTTTAAAACTAACTTCTAAAAATATTTTAAAAATTAAAAATATTTGACAGTTTTTAGATTTTGAAAAGTATATCAACTTATTTAGCAACTGTTTTAAAAAATATTTTAGTTTCTTTAATTTTAAAACTTAAAAATCAAAATTAATAAAAGCTTTTTTTCATTTGTTATTTTCTTTCACAAAAATTATCGAGATCTTTTTTTTTGTTCTGAACAAATTTTTAAATTAGTATTATAAATAAGTTTTTTTTTCTCAAACTCGTTTTTAAAACTAGTTTTTTAAAATTAACTTCTAAAAATATTTTTAAAAAATAAAATTAAATAAAAGAAACTCTTGATTTCAATATAGGTATAACATAACTAACGAGAGTATGGAGTTCACTCTCTGTACACAGGATCAAGAGTTACTTTTATAACAAAAACTAAGAATTATTATAATGTTTATTTTCTCTAAATATAATAACTCTAGAAATAATTTAATTTTAACTGTTAAATTAATAACAAAGATTAAAAAATAAGAAATCATTTTACATTTCATTATTTTATTATATATATATATATGTGTGTGTGTGTGTGTATAAACACATTCGTGAAGTCTATTTTACATATATAATTATCAAAAACTCATCGACAAATATATAATCAGACAAAAACCATAACAAAAAAAAGAAATATTTTGAAACCAATATTTTGACAAACATCCTATCTGATTTTTATATTATAATAATAATTTTAAATTATTTCATTTTTATTACATTTTTTAATAATTATTAGTGGATAGTTTTTAAAGATAAGATAAAAAAAAATAATTTAAAATTATAATATTAAAAGTGGGTTGTTTTTAAAAATGATATATTTTGGGCTGTCAAAATATATTTTTCTTTATTTATTTTCATCGTTAATTCATATTTTTATGTTCTTAAAGCATAAAATCATAACGCAAAGATGAAAAATTTAATGACACCATATAACCTGCAACTAAAAAAAATCTAAAATCTCTTGCGAAGCTGCACGAGATTGGAATAAGAGCTTATAGACAATATTGTTAAAAAGTTGTTTAATTTTGTAGAACATTACCCTCCACTACCTAAACTTCTAAAGAAAATGTCTGTTTTAACTAAAAGATTTATAATTAGATAAAAATCTTTTATATAGTATTTACAGGACTCCTAAAGATTTGGCATTGTTATACCCACCAATATTTTCATCATTTATATATATATTTCCTTAAGCATGTGGTGGAATAGTGCAAAAACAGAGAAATGGATTTGCAATTGAAAATTATCACATTTACTTTAATGTTACTGCTTGTTTCTTCTTCTGTCAGTGCTCAATTTCGAGTCTTTCATATATCAAGATATGGAGCAGCACTTGAAGGAGATATAACTCAAGTAAGATTTTGAATTTCCATCATGTAAAACATGTCTTTTTTAAAATTTGGTAAATATATGTTCAGTCATGTAAATATGATTATATCTGATTTTACTTTTCATAATCTTATCAGTGATGACTTAGGACTCAATGACCAATGTAATGTTTTGTGTATATTTACATGTCATGTTGTAAATTATAGTTAAAAAAATTATCAGAACTAAAATTACTTTTAATACATATTTTTAAAATTGATTAAGGTCTTGCACTTTCTTAGCACAATTCTTTTTCTCTGATTTGTTATTTTCTTTAGGCTTTGACAAATGCTTGGAGTGATGCATGTGCATCAACAACCTCAAGCAAAGTTGTGATTCCTAGAGGCACATACAACTTAAAACAAATAGAATTTAAAGGTCCTTGCCTAGCCCCTATTGAGGTTCAAGCTGATGGAACAATTCAAGCACCACAAGACCCAAACCAGTTAAATGGAGATACTCAATGGATTAAATTTACCTATATTGATTTCCTTACCTTGTCTGGTGCTGGAACTTTTGATGGTCAAGGTACAATTGCTTGGAACCAGAATAATTGTGCAAAAACTAAGGATTGCAAGAAGCTTTCCATGGTAAATAATGTTTGCATTTTTTCAATGTTTCAGTTAGTTCTTTATTGTGCATATATTATATGAAATTATTTGGTCCTCTTTTCTGTCTTTTTCTTCTGCATTTCAATATACGCTTTGATGTTGAAATGAGTTTTCTTGCATTGTTTTACAGAACTTTGGTTTTGGTTTCCTCAACAATACTATTGTTCGAGACATAACATCAAAGGACAGCAAAAATTTTCATGTGAATGTGTTGGGATGCAATAATATTACATTTACAAACTTCAATGTTATTGCACCTGCAACTAGTCCAAACACTGACGGAATTCACATTGGAAGATCAACTCAGGTGAACATTACTGACACTAACATTGCCACTGGTGATGATTGCATCTCTTTGGGTGATGGAAGCAAACAAATCACTGTCTTGAATGTGACATGTGGTCCTGGACATGGTATTAGTGTGGGAAGCTTGGGAAAATATCCAAATGAAGAACCTGTTGAGGGTGTCATAGTAAGAAATTGCACATTCAACAACACAGACAATGGTGTGAGGATCAAGACTTGGCCTGATACTCCAGTAACTACTACAGTGACAGATATGCATTTCGAGGACATCAAAATGGTTAATGTGAAGAACCCTATAATCATAGATCAAGAGTATTGTCCATGGAATCAATGCACCAAACAGGTATTCGGCTAAAATCACCCTTGACGATTTCAAAAACATGTAAGAGTGTTTCTTTCTTTATTTTTCATTTGAGTGTTTCTATGATTGCAGAGTCCATCAAAAGTTAAAATAAGCAAGGTTACATTCAAAAATATCATTGGGACTTCAGCAACTGAAGAAGGAGTTGTTTTGATTTGTAGTAGCGGTGTTCCATGCGAAGATGTGATGCTTACTGACATAGATCTAACCTTCAATGGAACTGTTGCCACTGCTAAACTTTCTAATGTCAAACCCATAATCCAGGGAAAATCGCCACCTTTGCTAAATTTCTTATTTCCAAGCCCATAACCTCAATTTTAATCTTGTAAACTATGTTTTAATTATGTACTTATTTTTAAGCCTAAATTAAATTAGGTTAAAATTTAAATATAGTTTAAAATCTTACAAAACTATTTATTCAGCATTTACCTTCTTTTTTTCTCCTAACCTTGTGATGTAGTACGATTACTTTAGTATCTTGTAATATGTTATAGCATCTCCAAACGCAGGTGCTTAACTCGTTGGTTAAGAATTTAACTCATTGATTAATATATATATATATCCTACAAGCAATTATATTAAAATTGATATGTACAGTAACCTAAAATGTTAACAAATGTTGTTTTTACAAATAATGTTGTTTAACAAAAATATAAAACACAATTAAAATATAAAAACTATCTTAGAAAAAACCTTTTACCTAAATTTCTCAACTATAATAAATAAATTTAATCATTTTTTACGTTAATTCTAAACAAGAATATAAAAGATAAAAATGTTTTTATTTTTATTTGATTTACAAAATAACAATAATAATATGTAATACTTATTTAAAAAAAATTGTAAAATTTGTTTAGTTTTAATTTTGATCTTATAACTTTTTAAAAATAAATTAGTTTTCTAAAAGCATTATAAATTAATCTTTATAAAAAAATTAAAACTTCCTATAAATTTACCAATATTTCATGTTAAAATACTATATTAAATTAATATTAGTTATAATAATTAAATTATTTTTAAATTATCAAGTGAAATATAAATGAAAAATTATAAAAATAAGAATATTTATAAAAATTACTTATTAGAACAACCTTATAAAGATTTGGTATGAATGTTCATTTAAAGTGAAAATAAATGTCACCAGATATGCTCTTGTAAGGGGAAACTAACTCTTAAAAACAAGATTTTTATAATCAAACCAATTTCAAAATTTAACAATTCATTCTGAATTGAAAATTAGAATAGAACCAATGATAATAAAATTATTATCAATAATAATTAAAAGTATAGAAATTAATATTGAAAAAATATATAATATGCTATATGTTGGTGTGCTTGTTAAAAAGATTAAGAGTTGCATTCAATTATCTTAGTCCTGTAAGATACACAAAATAAGTGCTACTGTCTATAGTCCCCTAGGTCCCATTAGCCTGACATTTCGGTTAAGTGTACTTTTCTACTGAAATAGCATCTTCAATTCACGAACCAACTCAATATTTTGGTGGGTCTAAGCAAATAATAAAATCACTTTATGTATTCTGTATATTCTATTTCTCTAAGTATCTTTTAATGAAAACATTCTATACCAAAGCTGACATTTCAATCATGCCAGATGGTTTAAAAACAAAAAGTTTTGAACTCGTAATCTCAGAAAGTATGGCATACCAAAAAGATGCTTTCTGCTTCAACTTCTAACATATAGCCTTCATTCACCATCTATAGTATATTATCTTCATTCACCCAAGAGCTACACCACATATTTCAAAGGCTGTGCTTCTAACCTAGAACTGTAGAAAGTACACATTGCGGTTCTATCCTAGAACTAGAGAATGTAAATAGTAACACAGAACTAAGGACACTGAACTGCACAACATACCCTTCACAAGTCTCACCAGATGTTATACATGTATATGCACAAGATGTTACTTGTGATGAATACTGCATGTAAACAATCATTTAATGCTACAGCTGTTATGAGCTACTTCTGCTGATTGAAGTCCATGAAGTTAGGATGGTTCTGTCCAGAGGGAGGAGGAGGCATGCCAACCTGTGGCTGGTGTTGTGGTTGCTGGGGTGCAGAATTAGTCAACTGTTGCATGGCTAACTGGGAAGCCAACTGGTTGAATATCCCACCAAAAGAAGGGTTTCCTGCGATAGCACCCAAACGAGTACTCTGTGCCCTAAGGCGTTGCAGTTCTTCCTTCAATGCCTCATTGAGATCTGCAGTTACATAGTGTAGCCATGTTGATATTCATGTGTTAAATTTGAAATAACCATATAAAAAAATCTACAACTTGACAAATTTCAAGGAATGTTTCTTCCTGGACTTTGAATAAAGGGGTGAAATTGACCCATGAAAATTCATGAACTAATGTTCACACAATAAACTAGTAATGATTGAACCTTATGTATTTATTCAATTCATTATCAAATGACTGATAAAAGGGGGCAGCACATGTCCTATTTTTAAGGCATAAACAAATATGAAATGATGCATACCTTCTCTAAGCTGTGCTTCTTGCTCCAAAGCCTCTAAACGCAGTTTGAGTTCCTTATTCTCTGCAGTCAAATCTGTGGTGTCTCTCTGCATCATGAGAAATTGATAAGTTTGCTGCATGTTTTTACTTTCCCTTATAAGCATGTGTAAAAGATTGAATTTATCTAAAATACTAAGAGAGTAATGGTATATAGTCAAGAGTCAAAATAGTTTGATTGAATTCAGGTAAAACTTTGTTAAGCTTCAAAAGGGAGTGTCAGATTCGTTCAAGTAGGGTGAGGACATTCATCAAATTTAAGTTTTGAATCTTTAATAAACTCCACGAGTCTTGCTCTTATGGATACTGGTAAGAGCCAAAGAAAACAAGGAAACCTAGCAGTGTCAGATACCTGGGGAGAATTACCATATCTATATTCTAGTCACCCTTTAAGAATATTTTAAGTTACTTTCCTTTCGTGCTATGGTGACAATTAAGAACAAATATTGCCTCGTTATTTTTATCAGAAGAAATGTACAAGAGAGGAGGATAAGATATCCTGTTACAGAAAGAAAAACAACAAAAACACAAATTCAGCAATGCATGCCCAGTTTTCAATATTCAATGAAAAGTGCCCCCCAAAACAATCACTAGTCAAATACCCCAAAGGAGCTAAGAAGACCACTATATCCCAATGTATATGGAATTATACTTGAAATATATGTTTTTCTCTCCAGACAAAGTAATCATTCCATGTATAAGTTGGGCAGCATCAAAGAGCCTTGCCATCTTTACCCTTTACAAAAGAAAAAGACAAAAATAAAAAAGCAGATTAGAAGTTTCTCTGAACCTAACTGAAAAATCCACTTTTGCCCAAATACACTAAAAATTCTGCACAACTAACATCTTGCATCAGTGGACTGTAAAGCCAGATGCACAGAAATCCTAGGTGCATGACACTAACGTTAAATCATGTAGCCATCACATCATCCATCCATGCATGCCTTGAAATATGTCATTGTTGAACTGCAATGCGCTCAAGTATATAAATTTGATTATATATTTAAAAACATGGCACTCTGCATCTTGGCCTTAACCCTAAAAGAATATGAGAAGAGTTTCACCAAATTTAGGAAATGAAAACAAACCAACTTAAATGATGTAAAATAGTTCTGGGTAAAACAGTATAGGGTAGGGTGCAGGCCTGCATCATATTTATATGTGAAAATAATGAGATAACTGTATCACACTGAAGTATATGTCGCTAGGAAACATCTAAACTACCATTCCAACAAAAATGACCACAACAATTAAGCCTTATCCAACTGACTCCCGGGGTGGGCAAAATGGATTAGTTGATGCCTCGGGGAAGTATCAAATACCAATTTTCATCACAACCTAGCACAACGGTAAACTTGAACCAAAGCAAAGGAGGTTGGCTAGGGTACGTTTGCCAACTTCTTAACATAACCCTCTTCTTTTATCCTGGCTAATGTTTGGTGAGGAATGAAATTGGCAGAGCTCATGAACTAAAGGCCCCCTAGCAGATTTTTACACAGCAGTTAACTGGAAAAACGATGTTTTCTCATCTACAATCATGATCTGCTATAAGTCAAAGCTACCGCAGTATTTGATACATGTGTTCTCTATTTGATTCAGAACACTTTATTGATCTACATGCCCTGTTATCTATTACTATTTATGAGCATCCATCACACCGTATATGAGCATCCATCCTACCATAGAGACATATTCCCCTCTATAGTATATGCATCTGATATATATCAGATTTAAACATATGTTGTGTGCATCCACTTGGCATAGCATTTTTGCAGTAGCTATCAGGATAACTCTTTACAACAAATAATTTGCCCCAACTCTTTCCAAACAAAAGGATACAAAAACAACATACTTTTGCAGTCCTCAATTTTCGTTTTACCCAAAATCTTCTTTTGAAATGAAATACACATGTTTTCGTTACAATTCTTTTATTCTTTTTCTAACGGCTGTGCATATGTTTCATTACCAAATTCTTCTTTACTTTCAACTTAGAATATTTGTCACATAATCAGACGTATTTAAACAAGTACAGATACATAAACAGGTGTCAACTTAAACCTGGTGTCAAATGACTAATTTTAAACTTTCAAATATCAACCTCGGTTCAATGTACAACCCCAGCAATGAATAATAAGTTATGACCTCTCATATTACTGGAACGTATGCACCAGAATCATTTCATGCTTATGTCATCATAATCAAAATGAAATCTATAATTTGTTTGTGATATAGTTAGCAGCCACAGGTTTAATGGTTCACTAGTCCCTCTGATAAAAAACTAAATTTTTCCTAAATGTAAGATAAAAATGCAACTGGTTGCTTTCAGACTACATTTGAAGATAATAACAAAAAATATATCTACGGTTGAGGTCTACTCTCTGGTAATTTGGTCCTTGTGATTTAAGATATTTATGTATTAGGAGAAATGTTTAACATTATATTTCCACAAATTATCATAGGCATCCTTTGAGGTAGGAAGTAAATGAAAATTCACACAAACATCCTCTCTGTTTGCTTTCCATGTAACAAAAAAATATAGAAGTTCAGATGAGCAGGTAAAATTGTCACAGGGCCTTTACTGTAGGGTTTGGGAATCACGTGTAAATTTTCAAACTATGAGGGATGTTTTGTAATAATAACAAATGCAGGGGATGACAAATAGAGAATAAATTTATGTAACAACCAAGGACAATTTTATAGATATAACAGAAAATGTTAGCAAACATTTTTCCTTTAAAGAAAGGGCCCTTGATAAGGTGTGGGATCCATAACTGTCTGTGACCACACAAATCAAAATCAACATAAAGTAAACCAACATCGTTGTTAGTGTGTTGGGGGGCTCCATCAAATGCTGACAAGAACAAGCTACCAAATTCATGCTTATTCATCACCAAAAGTCAGGGCTTATAACACCACGAAAAGGAAAGGACATACCTGAAGCATGGTAAGCTGTGCAGAAAGGTTAGTTGCTTCAGTCTGAAGTGTCTGCACCTTCCTCTCCAACTCACTAGTGTATCGAATCTTTCTCTCCTTTGATCTAGCAGCAGATTGCCTGTTAGCAAGAATCCTGGAAAAACACAACATCCCAAATCCAAGCCAACATCAGTGCATCAAACTAATCATTCTCCCTGCAAAAACACAACATCCCACCAAAATTTCTTCCCAGTTTCCTCACAATTCAAACACCCCTTTACAATAATAATAATCTTTCATAACCACCATAAGCCCCTGACTCTCTAGTAGTTGTAGGACCTCATATATCCACAAGTTTCAATCCTTTAAATAGGCTATGAGAGACTATTCATCAGTGCAGGATTTGGTGACACTTCTTGCAATACCCAAAAAGCTATAAAACTTCATCTAATTTGTAATCATATTATTTTCAGAAAAAACAACATATTTAAAACTATCCATTAAAAGAATACATAACAACAACAAAAATGATCGAGATTTTGACAAGAATAAGGTTTAAAAAAACACAAACAAATCAAATTGCACTTAAATTTATTACTATAAAAACACCAAGAACAACAAAAAATGAAAAACAACCTCTTAGCTCTCTTGGGATCAATAAGAGCGAGTTCCGCGAGTTTATCAGGAGCCATAGCTTTCTTCACGCCATCCATCATCATCGACGAGTCCGCCTCAAACGACGTCGTCGAAGACCCATCCATGGAGTTGCTGTGCCGGTGGTGCCCCACCCTCCGCTCACCGTCGCCCTTCCCTCCGCCGCTCAAATCCCCTCCGCCGCCGAACCCAACCCCGTCGAAGAAATCGGAGCCCACCGACAGACTCTTCATGTGCCCGCCAGCAGGCGGCCCGGCCTGCCTCGGCCTTCCGCCGGACTCGTCGAAGTCTACTGTCATCGGCACCGCTCCGGATGCCCCCGGAGACGGCAGCGGGAGCGGCGAGGGGAGCGTGGAGATGTCGAGGTCGGAGGCGTCGAAGAGGAGCAGGTCGTCGAAGTTCCCGGCGAAGCGAAACGAAGTGTCGGAGTGTGAGCGCCGGTGGTGGGACCCACGCTCCGGCATCCGGTCGAGGTCCACCGCCGCCGGCGGCTTTCCGATGAACTTTGGGTCCATCGAAGAACCAATAAAAATCTAATCTTTCTATTTTTTTTCTTCTTCTTCTATAATTGTTCTTTCTTCTTCTTCTTTTTTGTCTTGGTGATTGTGAAGAAAGAGAAAGAAGAAGAGGGTTGTTCAGGTGGTGGTTGGGTTGTGGTTGTGTGTGAGTTTGCTGAGTAACAAATGGAAGCAGACAAGAAATTGACTTTAGTGAACAAAAGTTGAGAAGTTGTGTTAAGCCACTGGTCTAAAAGAGCATCATTAGTGTTGGGATTAGAGATATTTGACGGCAATGTTCATTGGTGGTGTTACTGGAGTTGACACCATTTTCAATTTGGAATTTAATGGAAATTAGATTTTGGTAGTGGAATCTATTCAATACAATGGTAGATTATTTAGTTTAATTTTATACTTTTTTTTAATCAATTTTAATTAATGATACAAAATAGTACCACTTTGTTTGATATTTAAAGTTTTAGTGATAAAATTAAGAAATATAGAAAATGCTTGTTAAAAAAATTAGAGAAGAATAATTCCTTGTCTTTTCTTAACTAAAAGTTGAATTTAATTTTTGAAAATGTTTTTAAATGATTTGGTTTGTTTGGTCAATGCAATCAATTGATTTCTTTAAGAGAAAAATTAATTGTCGTCAAATGTTATTATGCCTTTGAAATTTGATTTAGTGGTACTAGTAATAGCACATTTTGTTTGGTGGTTCTTAATTAGGTTCCATTGCTTCATCCTTTGTTTAAACATCTTATCATGGCTTCACAACTGAGGAGAAATCATATACCATCTCATTGATTGATTGAAAATAATGAATGAAACATTATTCTATCATAAAGAAACAAAAAATAGAGAGATTGAGAAAAGAAATAATAGAAATATTGGAAGGAATATTTTTTTAGTCATATAAATTTGGTTTTTATCATTTAGGTTGTGCTTTTATAATGGTGAGAATGATTGAAAAAAAAAATGTTTCCTCTCGTATTTGCTTCTTCTTATTAGTTTTGGAAAATAAAAATATGAAAAAAGTGTAGAAAAAAAAATGTTTTTAAACATGAAAAAGTAGGAATTTTAAGAAATAAAATTGCATTTTCGGTTTCTTCAATCACAAAAAAAAATTACAATGAAAGAGATATACTTGCTTGATTATATAAATATTTTATAATAATTAAGTTTTATATTAAATATATAATTGATTTTGTTATAGGTTTTCTATTGATATTTTTATTATAATAATAATTTGTTAAAAATATATTATTAATATAATAAATATATTTATCATCAGCTCATGAAGAAGAAAAAATTGATTTTTTCTTAAAAAGAAAATGCACTCAAATTATGTTTTTAATATAATTCATTATATCGTTAATATATATTTTATATGATTAATCATTTTATAAAAATTTATTATTATTTATATTTATTCTATATATAATTTGTTAAACGATAAAAAAATTATTTTAAACTACCTTTCGATTAAGAGAAAAAGGATATATAAACTCTTTTACAAAATTTATGAATTTATTGGAACATAAGTCCTTAATAAAAAATTAAGAAATATATATACGAACAGAAGGAGACTCTATTATTAATTTTACGATAAATGTTAATGTTCTTTTAAAGAAAAAAATATCATCATATCAATTTTCACTAGTTATATAAAAACATAATTAGTAAATAGTAAATATTTTATTGATGTTTTTGTTATAATAATAAATAATTTAAAAAGATATTAAAATAATACATAGAATTATTAATAATAAAAAATATTTTTTAATTTTTCTCCAATCAGACTTCAATGTTCTATTTTCCCATCAGGGTTGAGGTGATGAATTATAGGACAGGTTTATTCTAAAATAAAAATCACGTCGAAGGGACATCTATGCAAGTAAAGTTTTTACTCTCAACATGGATTCTGAATATTTTGAGGAGTGACATGCAATTTAATGTATTGATCATGTGGTGGGCATTGCGTTGGAGAAACAGTATTATTTCCTCTCAACAACATTGGCATATGTCATTTAAGGTCATAAAGACCAAAACAATTTAAATAGCACTCAATTTTATTACAACTAATTTCTTTTTTAAAGAAGAAAGTTTTCATTTTATAATTTCTTCACATCAATGACGGTGACAATCTTCATAGTCCATTCATCAAGTTGATAAATTGTGATGTCTCATCAATACAACATAAAAGATATGTAATAACGGTTATACATATTTTGTAATAGTGATTAAAAATATTATTAAATAAGACGTTAATAAAAAAATAATATTTAGATAGTGGTTAATTAACTGTTATCATAAATAAATAATATATAATAGTGGTTAACATAGGATCGTTATTATATATGTGTCACTTTTAAGAGTGGTTAATATTTTAACCGTTCTTAAAAGTGATATATATATAATAGTTATTAAAACGTCAATCACTATCTAAAATATACTTTTAATAATAGTTAGTTTTATAATCTCTTTCTTTTAGTATGTTTAGATAGTGGTTCTGGAAACCGCTATCTAAAGTCTCAATTTAAAAAAAAATTATTTAAATTTTAAAATCCAAAATTTTCCTCATAATTTGTACTAGATAGACTACAATTTCAGGGTATATATTAAATTGATCTAACAAAATCCAGTCAACATACAATATATATTCACAAAATTATAGAAAACAATTTAAAATTTGACAAATTAAAACTAAAATTTGCATGAAACAAAATTGGTATACATATACATCAAATAATTGAAATGATTAAAAAAATCGCTAAAAGTCTATGGTGCTAATTTTGTTCTTCAAAAATGTATGGTAGAAATATGCACACTATTCCTTTTGTAGCTGCTCAATTCTATGGTCCAGAAAGGTAGTAATGCGAGATTATGGAAAATACTGCAACACATAAATAGAAAAGAATCACAAAAGTAAAATACCAAATTAGATAAATAATGATAATACATTATTATTTCATATAAACATAATCATAATGAAAAATGGTTCTTACGTTAACTGGAATAGTAGTTTGTCCATGCTACAGTGCATCTCCAATGAACAAGGCTACGTAATATCTACAGTCATTTGAGTTGTTTTGCTTATGACACTTTGTAGACCAAAAAACATAAAGATAGTTTAGAATAACCGCCAAGTAAAATATAAGCATGTATGAAAACATGAATCGGGGTACATTTGATAACTGTACACTGGCCCATCTTGTTTGATTCATCTTTATTTTTGGTGTTCGAAGCCTCCTTTCAGCTTTATATATAAGTAGGGCATTGAAATAACAAGAAGTTAATATAAATATCTTATCGTATTGGATATTCACATGCGAAATAGTCATATGAGTTTACTTACTTGTTAAAAACGTTGAGCATATGTGTTCTCTCCTTATAGTGACAGTGTAATGAATCAAAAGTATACAATGTCTCATCCCGAGTATTGATAGCAATAAGAATTCAATGCGAACTAAAATTATTGAACACAATACAAAGTGAGGAATAAAAATATATAATCAGCAAGTTTTAGAATATGTGAAAGGAATTGATCAATCATACAAGAATAACTTACCCGACATTATAAGAAGCAAATACCAAGTGATCTTGACCCAAATGAAGCTTCAACATGTCTGCTATATGTTGATGTGGGTTGATATTGAGCTTCTCATCAAGCTCATATGGAGATATGAAGGAAAACCTACTTTCTTTATCAGTACCATGCAAGTAGGCGTCACACAAATACCTTATAATATAATTGAAGGTCAACAATGAATTAAGTTCAATATATATCAACATAAAGTAACTAACCTAAGCAAATAGAAATTAAGTATTTATTATTACCTGATGTACAAGCAAATGCTAGAGGCACTTAACCACTCACGACGGATAACCAAAATTCGTTTTAATATGTTTTACCTCTTCAAATATTTGATATCCAATTTTTAAATAGGGACATATTCGTTCTTCAGTATCTCCATTAAATGTCTTTTTCATTCTTCTAAATGCACATGTAATTCAAAATACCAGTCATGTAATCTAGGGTTTTCAACAAACAATAATCCACCCTTTCCAAACAATGTAGAAAATATTATATAATAAATTTGTACAACAAAATTTCAAAAATTTTATAAACATTTTTTTTTAATAAATTTCCTTTATAAAACTTGAATGTAAATGAATTCTGAAAACTAAGTTTTCCACCCCTTGAATTCACTTTTAGTATAAAAATTATAAAAGAAAAAGTAACACAGGTTCATAGGACGACAATTGTGAAATCATACAATAAAATTCACAAAACTACAATTAGAGTTTAGAATCAACTCATCTGACCTCAATAGAGTTTTACTAAAAAGATATTTGAAAGAAGTCGTGATCAAATTTTTCTCCTAACCCTAAAGATTTGGAGATGAAGACAAATGAAATAGAAAACTTGCATAGAAATTTACCTTAAATGATCAATAGAATGGATAAAAAATGTAAAGAAATTGGATTAAGAAATTGATAAATTGTTATTCTTTTCTCCCTTAGTTTGGCCCAAAGAATGGTGATAAAATAAGAGTGAAAATTTTGATGAATTTATATAGACGTGAGAAACTTAAAAGGCAACTTAAAATATCTTTCATATTTTTTTCTTTTCTCTTTTAAATTTAAGAAGTACTAATATTTTTTGTATTATAAAATTCAAAACAAATATTTATGTAACAAGAAACATGATGAATAATTAATTAGACCAATAAATTGCTTTTTGGAACAGGTGATTTTTTATTATTATGACCAAATAGACCCATTACCCTCTTACACTGTTCTGCCTTACCACTGTCATCTTTTCCATCATAGAATGCATGAATTATGCATTTTAACCTTTTTTCTTTTCTAAGTTTTTTTTTAAACTTCATATTCTTTATCATGCCAATTTGATATTTTTTATTATAAAATATTTAATAGTTCTTCTAAAAAATATTTAAAATTATAACAATATTATAAATAAAAATTATAAAAATTGAACAATAAAACATTTA